GCACATTTAATTTTCAATCCATCTTGATAGCCAGTATAATAGATAAAAGAATCTTCATTAACTAATTTACTGCCTGGTACATTCTAGCTTTCAATTTTCAAAATGACACTAAACCTAAGATGTTGCAGGACATAAAGACTTCAGCTGAACTAAAGTGACTTGCATCTGGAAATATGTTAATTGTCTGATGCTGAAAACTCGGCCGGGATTAGAGGGCTCCCGAGGCGGTGCGCTGAAACCCTGCTTCGTGCCTGGGCCGCAGCGGGGCTGAGCGCCTGGCCACATTCTCACACCAGCAAAGGCCGGCTCTCTCGTCCCCTCAGGCTCTTCAGGATCTGAGGCACTTTTGATAAAGATTGTCCATCCGATCAAGGCATTGATTAGAGCCGTGTCTCTCAGCACGGGTAGGAATGTATTTCAGAGAAGACAATTCTGCGTTTGAAAAGTGATCCATAGCCTTTCAAGGAAAATACGTTTCTACAGAAACACTCTTTAGAATAAAGCCCCCTAAGAAGCAGAAAGGCTTTTAATGTCTAGAGGCCCTTATTCCCCCTAAGTCCACGCAAAATCGTGCTGCACTGTGTATTTATTGATGTAACCAAAAAGAGGTATGTTTATCTACTAGCCGAGGGAGGAACGATGGGACCAAAAATGCCGTGAATAAAAGGCGACAATTCAGCCTTACTGTCACAGCCCGCCGGGTGAGGGGCCTTGTCCTAGAAGCAGTGCGTTTGAGGAAGGGAGAGAACGGTTTAGACCAGAAGGTGACTAAGTTGTTTTGGGAGATGACTCAACATCAACTAGTCTCCTAACCGTCGACGTGGAAATCACGATTCCTCCTTTACCAGATTCACCACACTGTTATGAGAATCCCAAGAGAAAAGACATACAGAGGCTTTACATTTTTAAAGCACTGCACAAACATAAGAGATTATTATTGAGTCTAAAGAGCAGACGTCTATCGTTAAAAAGTCAACAGAGAATACTCTCTAACTTCACTCCTGAAGTGCACTTCAAAATCAGAACATTACCTGAATATTTGTTGATAAGAAGAAAAAAATGTAGAAAGACTATTTAATTGTTGAACCAATTTTCTTTGAGAAGTCATGATTGACCTAGAATTCTACCAGGTGCAATGAGTGATAGAAAAAAAAAAAATAGGGAAATCACGAAATAATCTGGTCTAACAAAGTTAATAGTCAAAGTGAGATTTCCAAAGAAGTACCTTTGTAACTCATTGATCAGCTTATTTTTATCTGTCTGTCTGGAAATCCCATCATGTGCTTTTTTAAAATTAAGCTATGAGATTGCAAGGGCTGATGGTCTCATTTTATGTTTAAGGAAAGTGGGGACCAAAGGGAATCCAGTCTCAGCACCTTAACACACACCAGCTGATTCCACGTAATTAACGCCCACACACCTGGCCCAGCGAAACGTGCAACAGACATGGCACGACCATGGGCAGCCCAGGACCTCGGCCGGAGTCAGAAAAAGAGGCAGAGATCAAACAACTGCTTGGGCTCATTTGGATTTCTTGCAAATTCAGGCCAAATCTTCAGATCCACCCAACCTTTTGGCTGAACACAGTGACTGGGCAACACTGCCTTCCAGTGGCAACAATACAGTAAGTTTTAAGAGTCAGAAACCTCAGAGTGTATATAGTATTTCAATTAGGTGGTGTCTTTTGCCCTTAGGCTCAAGGAAACACCAAAAATTATTTTCAACACTTTGGTGTAGGCACTAGTTAAAATTCCACTATTAGTAATACTCTTTCTTGGTACTTGTTTAAAAAATTCAGAGCACATACCTCCCTTTTGCAGATGGGAATCCTACTCAGAGCGATTACGCTATTCAGATAACCTCACAGGATAACTCTGAACTCACTTGCTGCGGCCATCCTGTGTCTCATCATCAAAAGCACCCTCAGTAGCCAGTGGTTCCAGACACGGCAAAATCAAACCGATGCTTGCAAAGTGGTTGGTCAAAGGTACTTATGAATTCATAAAAATTCCAGTTTTCCCCTGATTAAAACCAGTCCACCCATTCCTTTCCTATACTTCTCTTCAGTTCTCCAAAATGCCTAACACAGTATTAAGGACATTCTGGATACTTTGGAAATAATTATTGTGTTGCACTTTCTTAAAGACTGTGCTAACCAGGAAATGTCACTCTCATTTTAAGTCTCTTAGCTCAAAAGCATGTTCTCTATTTATCCTTCACTCTGAACCCTCCATTCCTGCTGGCCTGTCTGAAACCTCTCAGCGACCTGATGAGATCCACCCCCATTATTTAGCCAGCACCTTACGTGTCACCTTCCCTGTCTGCCCCACAGCCAGGCCACATCTCTAGCGCCAGCATTCTTCCTTCCAGAGCTGCTGTTGCCACAAAAATATCTCCAGAATTTATATTTCTAAGGGGTCTCAGCAAGTTAGACCCAAAGAAACCAGGGCATCTCCCAAAAGGCCTGCCTGGTTGGAGGGAATTAGAGTAGTGATGCCAATATTGTGAAGGTCTCGTATCTCTGAAGGTGTCAAGGCACTTCTTGAAAGTTTGCTCTCTGATAATCCCAACATCCTTGAGAGAGAGTTGAGCAGCCTAATGTCATATCAACTGGAGGGGCGACCAAGCATACAGGAGCCTCACAGACGCCTCGTAACAGAGGGTTGGCCAAGTGCAGTAAATCACCCAGTGGTGCACTATGCAACCACCCAATCATCATTTGGATAGTTGTTTATTGGGATGAAAAGATACAACAATATACCAATAAGGAGACAAAAAAGCAGGTTATCAGATTTAGTATACAATGTGATGTTTTGGTAAACGTGTGAATTGCGTGTGTGTGTGCATGCGCGTGTATGCAGACGAACCACCCACCCAAAGCTACCCTACACACTGAGACAATCCCCATGAGCCCTCCCTCTACTTCAGCTACTCCCAAATAAACAAAAGAATCTACGTAAAGTCAGTTCTTGGGTTTTTTTAAAAGGCTTTTGGACAAGTTCTCTAGTGGTGTGCAGGTAAATGTTCAACAACTGGTTCTCCAGGGGGAAGGGCTTGATTTTTGCCATTTGCCAGTTTCCATGGCGTAAATACTCTCCACGTCACCAGCTCCGACCTGATGTTGCTGAATGCAGTGTTGGGCAGAGATGCGCACGCCAGGCCCTGCGGCTCTCACAGACCCACCTGAGCCAGCTCAGTGCCCAGTGCCCGGCCTGTCTGCAGACAGACTGGAATCTGCGGGCCCCTCTGCTACAAAATAAACAATAGAATGTATGTTTTAGGTGCTTTTTAATTTTCTTCTTGTTGACTATGTTTTCTACCTTTTCAACAAAGACCATATGTTTCTTGTGTCATTTTTTACTTATTTAAATTTAAAAAGAAATCATGTTTCTTCCATTACCTTGAAGTGGAGATCTTTGTGACCACAATACAAACCTAGAAGTCTTAAACAAATTTGATAAATTTAACTGCATAAAAATAAAACCTTTTGCATGGCAAAAATAAAACAAAAAAAATGCTTTCATAAGCAAAGTTGAAATAGACACAACAGACTGGAAAAAAATATACACAATCTGTTTCTCAGAAACATCATCTACTCTAACATAGTCATTTCCAAACTGACAACCTGACAGAAAAATAAGTAGTGATTTGAACAGACAGTTTAAAAAGAAAAGGAAAAAAAAGAGATGGCTCTTAGATAGATTCCTTTCCCCCAACCCAGAATGAGAGAAATGCAATTTAAAATTTAACACAGAGATATTATTTATTTAACCTATCAGATTGCTAAGGTTTCAAAAAATTTGAATGCACATTCTGTGAGTGAGGCTGTGATGGGAGTTTAAATTGCTACAAATTCTATGAGTGTGTAGACTGAATAATGACCCCACAAAGATGTCCACATGCTAACCCAGAACCTGTGAATATGTTACCTCACATGGCAAAAGGGACTTTGTGGATGTGATTAAGTTAAGGGTCTTGAAATGGGGAGATTATCCTGGATTATCCAGGTGGGCCTAATATAATCACAAGAGTTCTTATAAAAGGGAGGCAGGAAAGTCAGAATCAGAGAAGATGTGATAACGGAAGCAGAGGTCAGAGAAAGAGAGATTTGAAGATGTTATAGTTGTCGCTTTGAAGATGGAGGAAGGGACCACGAGCCAAGGAATGCAGGCAGCCTCTAGAAGCTGGAAAAGGCAAGGAAATGGATTCTCCCATGGAGCCTACAGTAGGAACAGAGTCCTGCCGAGACCTTGATTTTAAGACTTCTGACCTCCAGAACTATAAAACAATGATTTTGTGTTGTTTTAAGCCACTATGTTTGTGGTAATTTGTAACAGCAGCAATAGGAAACTAATAGAGCAATTTGGCAAACTATAAATGCATATACTCTTTGACCCAACAATTCCACATCTAGGAATTTAACCGAAGATAAATTATTCATATACATGGAACACGATGCCTGTTCTGCATTGTCGTTTGTAACAGCAAACAGTTGGAACCTATGTAAATACCCATTAAAAGACGTTGGTTAAATGATATGCTGCATCCACACAATGTAATATTATTCAGTCATAAAAAATGAATAAGAAAGTTCTTTATGTCATGATAACAAGACCTCCAAGATATAGTACATGAAAAAAGGAAGATGCTTTTAGAATATTAAGTACAGTGGGTCCAGTATGCTAACAATTACATAGAAATGGAGAGGAGGGAAAATACATACTTATTTGCATATGTATGCATTAATACGTCTGGAAGAATCAAGAAGAAACTAGTAGGATTTGTTGCCTATGGGGAAGAGAACTAGATGGCTGGATCTTAGAAGCAAAGGGAAACTTCTTGCTATATCGCTTTTATGTTTTGTTGAAATCAGTATATGTAATATGAATAGGTTACCTATTCCAAAATTTAAATAAAAACAAAAAGATTATAAATTAAACAAGGAAGAGATTATGTAGCTTGACCGGGCTCACCCGCCAAGTCAGTAAAGATGCCATTACCGTCAGTGGGTCTCTGCAGAACCTTTCATTATTTTTGAGGTAGGCAATGCTGTGAATTCCAATCATTCCAGAACCATGGGGGTGGGTTCGTGGTGTTCTGTGTGACCTAAGGAGCAGGATGAGAGAGTGATTTCAGAGTCAGGTGGGATGTGAATGGAAGTCTCTGGTGAGCTAGAACAGAGCCAACCATACACTGTATTCAAACGAGGATTGATATTTCCTTTAAGCCAAGGCGAGGATTCTTTAGAAGTCCTTGCAGAAACCTTGGCCAGTCTCAGACACCCTGTAAGTAGGGTTGCCAGATTCAACAAACAAAACTACAGGACACCCAGTTTAAATTTGAATTTCAGAAAATAAACAATAATTTAAAACTAAGATTTTTTTAATACAGCAAATACTTTTTAATGTTTAATTATTGCTACTTATCTGAAATTCAAATTTAACTGGGCGTTCTGCTTTTTCTTTGACAACCTCCCTCTAAGGAACTCCTTTAGAGGCCACGTTGCAGCCGTGGGCTGGCAGGTGGGGACAAACAGGCCCACGCAGATGTGGATGTGGCCTCTGCTCACGGCCACCATCACTCTCCCTTTCACAGACACTGAACACACCGTTCTGACAGGGAAGAATAGAGAGCTGAACAGGTTTTCTTGGTAAGGCATAGATTTGCCCAGGCAGTGACACTGGCAAAGACGAACGTGGCTCCAAGTTAACAGTCGGTCTCCAAGCTCACTTCTGGCCGCAGAGTTTCCTGGAGGTATTGTGTGGAATGCTCTAGAAGTTTGGAATGGGGGTGGGGGAGTGTTGGGCAACCCAGAGAAATGTCCTCCCAGCTCAGGTAATAAACGTGTTCCTTTCCCCAAATACCATTAAAGATATTTTTTTTTTAAATCTTTAAAAAAACTCTTTAAGCTGACCTCCTGCCAAAGTACACATCAATTATACAGCTTCAGTCAGGCGGATGCTCGGGGAAAGGGGGATAATGTTACACCCAGCTGGGCACTTTGTAGTTAGCACAAATGTAATATAAAGCACCGCAGAGTCCGTCAAGTGTCTGTCTGGATTTTCAGTTTTCATTAGTGCTATAATTAAAACCACATTTTCAGCTCTATTACCTGTAACAAGAAAGGAATGAGAAATGAGGTTGTCAAGGTCAGGCTTTTCCAGCTATTTCTACTGAGTATCTGCAGGCCACAAGTTGTTGAATTTGGTGTAAACCAGAGCGACGGCTGAATGTCGCACAAGGATCCATCCTGTGTGGCTTGAAAGGCACACTGCGGAGGTCACTTCCTTTGAATAGCCACTGGGCCATGTACGTCTACAGCGCACGAGGACGGGGAGACAGGCGGTCAGTAAACCCACTCGGCCACAGCAGCTAGTCCCAGAAGTTTCTCTTCCATTCACACCAAACCCATCACACATGCGAAACAGCCTAAAGGCAGTCCTCAGACACTCGAGCAGAGGGAGCCTGAAACTCTGAAGGCCGTCTTCTTTCTGCCTTGATTGTAAATGTGCCAGGGAGGGCTGAAGGGAGTAAGCGTGAAGCCTCCCACACACGCTCACAGAGGCCTCGCTGTGTGCAGTCCCGTCGACCCAGCCTTCCAAACAGAGCTAGAACCCAGCCACCTCTCCCCACCACCGGGTCCACAGCAGCACCGTCTCTCCCTGAATTCTGGCGAGAATCTCCTGGCTTTTGCCTCACAACCCCTGCTGTGGTCTGGACGTTTGTGTTCCCCCAAAATTCCTATGTTGCGATGCTAACCCCTAAGGTGATGGTATTTGGAGATGGGCCTTTGGGAGGTGATTAGGTCCTGAGGGTAGAGCTGCCGTGATTGGGATTGGTGCCCTTATAAAAGAGACCCCAGAGAGCTCCCCCACCCCTTCCGCCATGAGAGGACACAGCCAGAAGTTGGCCATGTATGAACCAGAAAGTGGGCCTCACCAGACACCAAATCTTCCAGGGCCTCATCTTGCATTTCCCAGCCTCTAGAACGGTGAGAAACAAACTTCCGCAGCTCATCAGCCACCCAGTCTCTGCTATTTTGTTAAAGCAGCCAAAACGGGACTAACACACTCCTGCCCACACACACCCACCCCACAGACTGTTCTCAACAAAGCTGCCAGATCATGTGACTCCTCTCCGAGAAGCCCCCAGGGGGCTTCCAGCTCTCTCAGAGTAGAGGCAGAGCCCTCAGCCGCCCTCAGGGCCCACAGCCTCTGGCCTCCTCTTACTGCTTTACCGCATCTCCCACTGCTCTCCCTGCTCGCGCGCTATTCCAGGCACACTCCCTCCTCAGGGCCACTGCACTTGCTGTTCCCTCTGCCCGGAGTTCTCTTCCTCCTGTTGCTGGCATGACTCGCTCTTTACTCAAAAGGCACCTTTTCTCCCAGTGAGGCTTTCCCTGTCCACTCTACTCCATAATGCAAAGCACCAGCACCCGCCCACCCTCCGACCATAGGGTTTCCTATTTCCCTTCTCACCTTTATTTTTCGCCATGGCACTTATCCATCTGGTCTACGATCTGTATTTCATTTATTGATTTTCTTTAAATGTTTGTCTCTCCTCACTTCCCAAAATGTAAATTTCTTGAAAACAGTGATTTTTGTCTGTTTGTTCACTGCTGTATCCTCAGCATCTAGAAAGAGCCTGGCACCTAACAGACATTCAACAAATGGTTGTTGAATAAGTGAGCGAATAAATGCAATCCAGGGATGGCTCCCACCAGTACTACATGGGCCCTCTTGGGGCGAGTGATTACTAGGTCCCTGAGGCCCACCCAGCTAGAAAGAGCAGGAAACATCTGGTCATGGATCCCCAACCCCAAGATGGGTCTCGGGCAACTGCTTGTTCTCTGGGCAAAGCTCAAAGTCGCTGAGACACATCCTTACCCATGAGGACTGCCCTTGGAGATGTGATTGGTAGAACCTTAGGGTAGTCGAAAGCTGGACTCCCCTCCCCATGTGGGAGGCAGAAAGTTCTCCAAAAATACAGTCCCCCATGCATTCCAGCCCAGACTCTGGGCAGGTCAATCCCAAGCACCACGGTACCCAGCTTTGATGGTTAATTTTATGTGTCAGCTCAGCTGGGCCCCAGGGCTCAGACCTGTGGTCAAACATTGTTGGGTGTGTCTGTGAGGGGGGTTTTTGGGTGAGATTAACATTCAAATTGATGGATTTAAGTAAAGCAGATTACTCTCTCTAATGTGGGTGAGCCTCATCCAATCAGTTGAAGGCCTGACTAGAACAAAAGACTGACCCACCCTGAGCAAGAGGGAATTTGCCTTCAGACTTGAACTGCAGTCTCGGCTCCCACCTGGGTCTCCAGCCTGCCAGTCTGCCCTGCAGATTTTATAAAAAGAGAATAAATTTCTTTATATATATCTATGTATATATATGCTTAATTTTATACACATATATACACACATCCGATTGGTCCTGTTTCTCTGGAGACCCTGACAATACAGCACCGAAGCCTTTCAGGCAGTTCTCCTGGGGATCAGCCCTCCTGCAGGGAACCACGCTCTTCCCAATGCCAACTGTTCTGGAAGCATGAGCTGCCGTCACTGACAGCAATGCTTCCCTCCGTCCATGCACAAATGCTTACCCAGCCCCTAGGCATCCCAGGGGGCACTAGGTGGTCACTTTCCCAGCTCTGAGGGCAGCAAAGAGTCCTGTATAACAAGCCTGCTGCTCGGCTGCAAACCGCAAGGCTGGCTCTCTGTCCATGATGTCACTGTCATGAAAATCTTACCAGGCCGATAGTGTTAATTCCTGTACTGCACGCAAAGGTGATATGGGCACTTTGAGCAAAACACATGGCTGAAACATAAGAAGCCACATAGAGAGGAAAGTGGGTAAGAAAGTGGGCCCTGAAGTCAGACTGCCAGGACTCCAGCCCAACCTGCCATGAACCGGCTGAGTAAAATGTGTCCATTCCCTCAGCTCCTGTGCGCCCATCTTCAGAATGGGATGATGACAGTAGTACTGGTCTCGCAAGGTTGGAATAAGACTGTTATAATCGGTGAAAAAAAATGCAAGCAGCACACACATCCCTATGCCTGGCCCGTGGCCTGTGTTTCCTGAATGTTACTGTTATGACTGTTACAGCATGCTCCCAGCCCTTAAAGAGTCTTCTAGAAGCCCAGTGCGGCACTTTGTTGAATGGGATTAAATCAGTTATGACTCTGTGGGTTGCAAGTGAAGAACAGAAAATATTTAGGAAGACCTGGAGCCCCAAAGAACTGTTACTGGAAATGTAATGAATGGGAAGATGAACTGAAAGAAAATCTACAGGTTACTCACGGAGTGTGAGCATAAACAATAAACAAGTAAAGGAACAGATGCCTGTGTGCCAGGAGGGAATCAAACAGGGCTCTTGAACAGTTCGAAAGAGGTAGGTGTGAAACGCCCCGAATGAGCGAGTCCATAGACAGAAGGTAGGTTAGTGGATGCCAGGGGCTGGGGGAAAACGGCGTGAGGAGTGGCTCCTTATGGCATGGGGTTTCTTTTTGGGTAACGGAAATGTTCTGAAGATAGGTAGTGATGATAATTGTACAATCTTGTGAATAAACTAAAAACCACTGAACTGTACACTTTAAAATGGTAAATTCTATGTTATGCAAAATGTTATGTGAGTCATAACGCAATTTAAATTTTTGTAATAAATAATACTGGGGTGGAGAGGCCTGTTTTACATAGGGAAGACACAGAAGAAAGCTCCTCTGAGGAACGTGTGTGTGAAAATGGGAAGAAGCCGGCCACAGGAAGACACGTGCACAGGCTCACGGGGTAGATAAAGGAGCACCGAGTGCGGCCCGCTCGACAAGGTCAATGAGCTGTCCTAGCCTCCAGGACGGCTGGGAAGAGAGAAACAGACGAGGCTGCCGGCTCGGGACAGGCTCTAGCTTCGAAGGCCTTGGTGAGCGCAGGAAGGAGGAGGGATTCTTTCTCCCTGGAATCCAGAACCTCTGACGGCTGTTAGGAGAAGGGCTGCCCTGCTCCAACTGCCAGTTTTGAAAGGTCACTTACAGCTCCCTGCACACACCACATCAGTTACCAAGGGGCAGGACCAGCACGAGGGATAAGACGCTAAAGACGGGAATTCTCACCCGGTGGGTTTTGCGCACTTTTAACAAACTTAGCAAAGGATACAAATTAGAAGATGAGTTTATTCATAAGAAAACGTGTAAAAGGTAATATGAAAACAATGCAGATTTAATGTCTATTCCAAAATGCACCTTTCCTCCTTTCCCATAAAACATCCAGCAATAAAAGGGTGCCCTCTCCCCACTGCCAGCGTTTTTCCAGGGACAACAGCAGAGCTATTATTAAGACAGCAGCGCCCTCTGCAGTTCTAAGTCTAGATCGTGCCTCTCTGTTGAATATAGATGTTGGAAAATGTCTGCTTTTATTAATAGTGTGACCAAAAAATTACCATCCCTCAAGGCGACGCCACCCATGGTAAGCTAGCCCTCCAACTCTTTCCTGAAAACTAGAGAAAAGTACAAAAAGGAAGGGAAATTGGAAAAAAGGAAGTGACAGTTATAATGAAAACAGGGATTCATCCATTTGCCCTTTTGGGTATTATGCTTCCTCCATAGACCAAAAGGTGTGTGTGCGTGCATTTGTGTGCGTGTGCGTCTGTGTGTGCGTGCGTGTGTGTGTCTGTATGTGCATGCATGTGTCTGTGTGTGTGCACATATACACATATATTCTCACTACTAACCAACAATCTACATCATTACGTAATTGAAAGGATAGAACACGCGGGTGATCGTCTCATGTTCACCAAACACTTGGTATCAAGTCAGTGAAAAGTACTGGCCATAAAACAACAGAGCAACAAGGTGAGGGACTGGCTTCTCCTGGCCAGTGACAGCGGCACGAGGCCAGAATTGGAAACCACCAGTTGAACAATGGTATGGATATGTTTGAAAACGGACTCGTGGGAGGGTGGCCTTGAGTGAAAAAGTGGGGAGATGCATGGAAATATGCAAATCTGGGTGAGGTGGTAAAAAATAAGACTCTCCAAGGCAAGGATATAAAAAGACCATCCGGAAAGGCAGCTCGGCAGCAGCTGCAATGGGATGAGGAAGGGCTCCGTGTCCAGCTCAACGCTGCTCCGCCAGAGCGAAGCAGCCTGGGCAATGGGAAGTCAGAATTTGTCAAGTGCTTTGATTGCTCCTTCCGTGGTCTACCCCTTGCGGTCTACTCCTTGCCCCCGATACTCTTAGGCAAAGTTTACTTGGGAAGGAGGGTGAAAGGGGAGATGTCCTGGGCATCTAACGAAGGCATGCGAGCTCAGAACGAGTCTCCCGGGAAAACTTTCAGACCACCTTAAATACCAAGAATGCGAGAAAGGTCCCTTCGAGCCTTAAGAGGTGAGGGGGAGGGGTAGAGAAACAGATTCCATCCTGCTGTCTGCTTTCCACTGTAACACGGCAGTTAAAAAGTTAAATCTGTTCCCTAGACAAATACAGTCAACCTTTCCTGCAGGCTCCATCCTATAGGCAGAGTGAGACACTGGCCTGTCTTCTTCGTGTTTGTTTTGGTCCCCTCGGCCCACATTGGCGTCCAGGGCTCTTCCACTCGCTGTCACCTGGCCCCGGCTGCTGGCCGCCGACGGAGCAGTAACTCGGCGCGGCTGGGCCTCGCTCGGCCCGCGCTCGGCTCGGGGTCCCCGCGGCGCCGCGGTCCGCGGCCGGCCCGCCCGGCCCGCTCACGCCGGCTCTCCCGCCTGGGCGACAGCCGTCTCGGAGGCACGGAGGCAAGCACGGCAACAGCACGTTACCGTCTCCTCATCGAGTCTCACTTCCATTGTCTGCTGAAACTGGACATTTGCAGCCCACACTTCAACGCACAGCGCTGAGGCTGCAGGGGAAGCTTCACAGAAAAAGTGCAATTCTATCTCCATACAGCCGGGGGTGTGGGGCGGGGAGAAAAAGCGACTCTTGCAGAGGCTGGCTAATAAATTGCTTCAAAATGCATTGCTGATTCTCTTTTCCTGAAAGCAACCCGCTGCGGCCTTTGGGAGTCTTTGGTGTCCTCGCCTTTGTCTCTGTCTTGGCTGACACAGCCTGCCCGCCGGAGCTGCTGTCTGGGCTGCTGCCAGCTCGTCGTCCTCCCTCGGCGGACACGCGGCCCGGTGGTCACGCCCCGTAGGCTGCGTTCGCAACCAGAACTGTCCAAGACAACAGCTTTGCAAGTGCTTCACTGTAACGATCTCATCACAAATGACTTTCAACATGTTAGAAAGACGTGAGTATTTTGGAAGGAAAGGCAACCTTTTCTCCCCCTGCTAAAACAGAAAGCAGCAGCCTCCGAGCTCTGGAAGGTACGCGCCCAAATCGATGAGATGCCGCTGGAAGGAACAGGGTCTAGAGCAGGCTCCGCAGGGCCTCAGCCCCAGGGATCGCCGGAGAAGGCTTCCTATCAGAGAAGAAGCTTCCTCCCAAAGTAATGTGGGTTTTTAAAAATGGGCTTTGTGTTTACTTGGTTTTGGTGCCAGGAAATCAAACCAGGCATTCAGCGCTTTCCACAAGACTCAGGCGTGAACCTTCGCGTAACGGGTGTGGAATCCGAGGAGCGGACCGCGAAGAGAGCAGGAAGGACAGAGGCGCCGCCGCAGGGGCTGCAGCCGGGCCCCCGAAGGCGGCCGAGCCTCTGAAAGACCAGCCAACGCAAAGGCAGCGGCTGAAAGGCCACAGTGCCGGATTCTAATGGACATCCACAGACCCAACCGTAACTTCAGAATTGTGAAGGACCAAAAAACCAACGTGGTCAACAATCGTAAAAGTGTTCGGATGCGCAAAGTAAGAATGAGCGAGGAAAACTACGTCATAAAGTATGTTTTGGCTACTAATTCCCAGCAATCACACTTACAATGATGTGCTATCATCAAATTGACTAATTAAACTTTTAAACTACTAAAAAGTTTGAAGAGAAAACATTTTTACGTGTAATATAGAGAGAGAAACAGAGACAGAGAGAGAAAGGGTCATAGGAAGAATACACACTATGGGTAAAAGGATAAAGTTAAGTCCATAAAGGCACCAAGTTCAGGGCAAGATCCAAGGGACTCCCCGGATGCAAAGACCCCAAAAGCCAGGCCTGAAATACCCAGCCAGGCTTGTGGTCATCGTCATCTTAATTTACGTAGCAAGCAGGCAATATTACCCAACAATGCAGCTCTCGCAACAGCAGCAGGGACCGTCAGAAGTTTGATGCCGTCTTAAATCGAAGGCTCCAAAGGGCAGGATCTCTGATGGCCTGGTTCCCTTGCACAAAGTGCAGAGCCCAGCGAGAAGGTTTTCAAGCAAGTCTTTATTTTCCTGTCACCTTCTGCTTTTTAACTTATTTGCTGGTGGTATGTATGCATGTATGCATTTTGCAGATAACGAGAGCTAACATTTACCAAGCGTATGCCGTGGGCCAGGCACTGTCCTAAATGCTGTGCACAGATTAACTCGCTTAACCCTCACAATACTCCTGTGAAGGAGGTGCTGTGAGGGCCCCCTCTCTTTGCAGAGAGGTTAGTGGGTCTACTACTCATATTCTCTCTCGAGCTCCAACTCCACCTGCTCGCAGAGATTACCCTCCTAGCTAATTCCACGCACCTTTAGCCATTGCAAGTCTAAAATCAGTTCTGGGGCTTCTCCTCCCCCTCCTTTTCCCTGGGTCATTTCCAAGCACTGCAGCCCGAGTAGCATCATGACACCTGGAGACGGTATCTCGTCCGCCGTTGCCATCATCTACCCTACACTCACTTCTGCTGAGGTGTCCGTCCCTGTTAGTCCTCAGGCCTGACGGATGAGCTCTCAGGCCAGCATCTGCTGAGGTGGCCGAATTCCCTTCTGGTCTCCAGTCACACAGTACATACTTTCATCAGGCCTGGTCTCCCTACCAAGAGACCCCTCCAGGCCCACCTGCTCTGGTTCTGCCTCTTGGCTAACTTCCAAGCCCGTCTCAAGTGATGAGAAACTGTGTCCGCTCTACCACGGCCTGCTGGGCCAGGAAACCAGGCGGGCTGTTGAGGTCCTCTCTGTTGACATATTCCACTGCCTTGTCTGCACTTCTTCAGGGACATCTCACCAGAGCAGGAGGGAAGCGCCAGAGCCTGCCGTGCTTTCCCAGACGCCCCCGGGACAGAATCACAAGCTCCGTCTGTCCTCTATCCCCTTACACATCTGAATGTCCCAGAATGCTGCCCCTCCCCCAACACATGCTCTCCAGAAGGGGGAGGGGGGAGCAGCGGCTCCTTTTTCCAGGAACACAGCAGCATCTGATACTCTTACTTCTGCCTCTACCTACCTCACCTCTCTACTCTAGCCCGTAGTTTTTCATTTCTGTGGCTCATGGGGGAAAAAACCTGACTCTTTAAGTATTCTCCACAAATATTACTTATACTCCTAAAATGGCTTTAGAATTTAAAGTGAACGATCAGATGCTTGTGTTCTCTGATTTCACACCAACCACATGTCCCTAAAGCGATGGTGGTTAATGTCGCATGCCCAGGCTCTCAGCAGTGAGCCTCGGCTTCCTCACTGTAGAAATGAGGCAGGCCAATAAGCATAGGGGCAGAGGGTACACAAGTTACGACCCCAGGTATCATGCCCCACAGAAACATTAGGAAAAAGGTTAATAAGTGGTAGGGACTTTTGAAGGCATCCATATACTCTAAAAGCAAAGATCAAAATATTCAACTCAAAAGGCTACAGATCACATGATTTCATTTACATGACATTCTTGCAAAGGCAAAACTATAGGGACAAAGAAACAGATCACAGCCATACAGTAGAATATTATTTAGCCATAAAAAAGGAATGAAGTGCTGATACATGCTACAAAGGGCATAAACCCCAAAACATGATGCTAAGTGAAAGAAGCCAGACACAAAAGGTCACATACCACATGATTCCATTTACATGAAACGTCTAGAATAGATAAATCCATGTAGACTGGTGGTTGCCAGGGCTCAGGGGAGGAGAGACTGGGAGAGAAAACTCTTAAGTAGTTATGCTCTGCAGTATTGGAAATGTTTTGTAACTAGACAGAGGTGGTGGGTGTACAATATTACAAATATATTAAATGCCACTTAATTGTTCACCTTAAAATAGTTAATTTTATGTTATATGTATTTCACCTCAATAAATTATTGTTTTAAAAAATGATCAGAGGGTCTGCCCAGTGGCATAGTGGTTAAGGTTTGCACACTCCATTTCAGGGGCCCAGGGTTTGCAGGTTCAGATCCCAATTACCAACCTAGCACTGCTCGTCAAGCCACGCTGTGGCAGCATCCCACATAAAACAGAGGAAGAGTGGCACAGATGTCAACTCAGGGCCAATCTTCCTCACACACACACAAAATCAGTAGTCCAGGTGGAGGGAGATTTGGGGGGCAATGGAACTGTTCTGTGCCTTGACTGTGGTGGTGGGTACACAGCTGTCTACATTTGTCAAAACTTGCAGAACTGTATACAAAAAGGGTGTGTTTTACTGTATATAAATTATAGTTTAATTTTTAAATGGGGGAAGTATCCAACATATAGAACGTAAGTAAATGTAGCCGACTAAAATCTGCCATAGATTATTTTGCTAGAGAATGACTGCTCCATAGAAAAGACCATAGAAAATATTTTCTATAATTTCATTCCAATGACATGAAACATACACTGGCCACTATGGGAGGGAAGTTTTTCATCATCAGGTTATTCACTGTATAAGGACTTGATGTGTGTGCACCTGTTAGAGAACTTAACTAAGGTTGTTTTTTGATCAATATGTAAATAGATCAGTAGTAGATAACTCTCTAAATGAAGGAAACTGCTTTTTAAAACTCTCATGGAAGCACAAGGTCTGGTAGGTTATTTGTAAAATAATGTAGCACAGTACTCCAAGGTCAATTGTAGCAGGACAGGTGAAACTATTCTTGACATGATAATTTCAAGCATAGTATTTTACTCATTTCCAAGGTGTCTGGCTATCCATTGCTGCATAATAAACCATTCCCAAACTTAGTTGGCTTAAAACATAGTTTTATTATTATTTCCCCCAGTTTTGGGGGTTGAATGGGCTTGGCTGGACAGTTCCCCCAAGGGGGTCGCGTAGCTGCAGTGCCAAGTTGGCTATGGCGTCAGCTTGAGGCTCAGTCAGGTTGTCACGTCGGTGTGCCCCATTCCCATGCCGGCAGTTGATAGGAGCTATTGACTGGGATCCCAGCAGGGGTCTCTATGTTGCCTACATGTGGCCTTTCCATGTGACTTGAGCTCCACACAGCACAGCAGCTGCATTCCCAGAGAGAGTGGAAAAGAGCAAGCATTCCAAGAAATTCAGGCAGAAGTAGTAAGACCTCTTCTGACCCAGCCTTGAAGTCAGACAGTGTACCTTCCACCTCACTCTATTGGTCAAAAAGCAAGCTGCAGGGCCAGCCCAGATTCTGGGGAGAGGACCACACAAGGGCATGAATACTAGGAAGCATGTCCGTTGGAGGGCATCTGTGGAGATTGGCTTCCAAAAGGGGCATCAATATTTATGAGGATTTTGGGATGATATTAAGTTTTCAACTATAAATAACACTTTGGCTTTTTTGATAAAAATTAAAGTGAATGTCAATTTTAGAAAGTATACATCTTCAGAAAGCAACAAACTACTGTCTAGTTTACTCATTGATTAAGTGCCTACTATGTGCCAAACACTGTGCTAGGTCTTAAGGATACAGGGATAAATTAGACATGGACCTGTACCCCTAGAACTTAAAGTCTAGAGATTGCAGTGTAGAAACAAATAAAAAATCAAACACAAAAAAATTCCATAGAACCTGTTGGAGTGCAAAAGGAAGAGAGTTCGTTCTCCCTAACGTGGGGTGAAGGAATGTCAGGAAATGCTTCAGAGAGAAGAGACTTGTGAGGAGAATCTTGACAAATAAGTATAAATTCCAAAGTCCTTAGCATTTATTTGGAAGAAGAGTGAGGGTGGGGTGGGAGGAGCGTGAGGAACAAAGAGGGCATTCCAAACAGAGCAAGCCAGCAAAACAAAGGTGAGGAGGTGTCACCAGTACCTGCCCGAGTTGCTTAAAGATGTACGTAGGCTTAAAGGGTTGCTTGTTGCTTGGTTGCTTAAAGAGCTGCGTAACAATTGCCATCAGCAGTCAACAGTTCCTCAAAGTTGTTTTTCAGGAGAATAACAGCCACCCACTGGCTTGAACTGTCTCAGACCAGTCCAAACCACACTGCAGTAACGACGCCTGTGCAGAAGAACGGGAAAATGTACAGAAGAAACCTTCGCCTCATTAGAACTCTACAAGCACCATCCCAGGAGGAGCTAAAGTCCTGTCAACATAACACACAATGTATGTGGAGGCGTGTGTCTGAACTGCATGTGTCAGCCCATGCCCATCTCTACATGGAATGACAAGGCTTCCCTCTTGCATATTCATCTCCTACCCCAAGTAAAAGGCACTCACTCCCCGTGCTCAGGGAGCTGTAGCTTTGTGAGATTCTTTCCTATGGTCTTCACTGTAGTTGCTGCATGCTGTAAATAAAATTTCTGCTCTGTGTGACAACTACTTCTAGTGTAGTTTGATTAACTCACTAAGGACAAGACTCACGTTGGTCTGGTGACAGAGGCACACCACATGTGCAAGATGCTGGAGGCAGTGCCAAGTGGCTAAGATGCAGAATTCACGGGGGGCTTATAGACACAGGCCTCCCTTGTGCACTATCCCACACAGATGTGTTTACTGTGATCCACAGATCATGTTTGTTTTTCTTTTTTACCTTCATAATGAACTATCACACAATGTTTTTAATTTTTTAAATTAGTTTCCAACATTTAACAAACAGAAAGTTTAACATAAAAAAAAGGTTAATTTGGCTGTACTGGGCCCAGATTCCTACCTGACAACAACTGGCTGGAGCCAAAGAATGTCCCCTTTAGAGGGCTTATGAACTCTCCAATCCACAACACCTCCATCTGGTCCCCACTGTTCCCTCCACTGTAGGCCTTTGAGTCTGAGACACACACCCTCCTCAAGAAAGCTAAGATGCATAGTTGAGGCAGGGGGGCAACTGACAATCTTTGATTAAGGTTTGATTGAGGTTTATGCTTAAGGTTTGAACTTCATCGTCTCACACGGGGGTGCTAGTGAAGTGTATTCAATAGGGAAGTGACATGATCAGATCTGCATCTTCCAAATCTGACCGTCAATAAAAGATTCACATGGAGAATGCCCTGAGAACCATGAACAGAAGCAATCAGGCAGGTGGAAAACTCTTCCAATCTTCCAGGTGAGTACTGGTAAAGTCTGATCTGGGGCAGTGGCAGAGGGGATGGAGTGAAGGGGGCCAAAACAAAAAGTATTAAGGAGTTGAAAAGGTCACCAGTTAAATATGGAGAGTAGAGGGGGTGGAGGGAAGAGAGCCGATGACTCTCAGGTGTGAGGCTACAGTGATATTGAAGAAGAGCAAGTTTAAGGAAGAGATCACAACTCCAGCCTTGTCCATGTTGAGTTCTACTGCTTGAGGCTCAGCAAGGTGGGAGGCAGTGTGTACACGGGTCTGGAACTCAGAAGAGAGGTGAGAGCCAGAGGTGGAGATTAGGAATTCACTGGCTTACTGGCAGTTGAAGCCACAGAATCAATAAGACAGCCAAGCAAGAGCATGGGGAGTTAGAAGAGAGCTGAGGAAAGGGCCCTGAGGAATGCTGAATTTCCAGGACAGTCAGGGGAGGAGGAAAAGAGGAAGAGGAGAGAGGAGAGCCCACTCCTTAAGAACTGAGGGAGGAGAGATTTCAAGGAGGAATCAGTCATCAGAATCAAAGACCACAGAGCGGTCGCCTGAGATGTGCCCTGCGTGTGACAGGAGGATGTCGTCAGAAGGCGTCCTTCACAGAGCATATCAGAAGAATGCCAGAGGTACAGGCTAGAATTCTGTGTGTGATCGATGTGGAAGATAACAGCCAAACAAAAGACATTGTGTTGTATTTAGGATTAAGGAAAAAAATATCAGAAAGTATTTCATAAAGGACGCTACCACGGGAGGAAGAGAGGCTTTAGAATTGATCCTTTTAACCAAGAGGAGTTTATACAGCCCTTTTATACCTTTTTCAACAACGCACCTTAAAAAAGAAGATTAGCTAACATCCTGCTGGTTCATTTACACCAATTGGTTCAGTTTAAGAACCACCATTTATTTTCACCTCCTCAGACCATCAACCTAAAAACAAACTCCAGTATAAGGAGTCCAAAAGTGTATTTCTTCTTGGATTATAAACAAGTTTTACAGTAAAAGATTCTTATATTTCTCTCTTTTGTTGCAAAGAAAGTTCTGTGAAACAAAATGCAATTTGATTTGGGATTTACATTCTTATTCTTAGAAATCTAGCCAGCAAGGAAGAAAAAAATCTGGTTCTATTCTTAAAGGAGAGACATATTTTCTGATTTTATATTTTCCTTCTGAAAGAACATTTTTTTCTTGTTTAATTTTGCAAAGGATAATAGGATGAAAACCTGAGAAAGTAGAATTCCTGAATGCAGACCTTTCCACTGAAAAACTAGGCTGTGAGGGTGAAAGTGATATGGGGCTGGTTTTGGGGGTTGGGGGGGCTATTATTTTGGAGTATGTGTATGTTTTAATATCAGAGAGAGTGGAGCTTTTCTTCGGGCTCTGAAGAAGCCAGGAGTGAAGACGAGACAGAAGAGAGAGAAATACTGGATGCTGCAGATTCCACAGAAGGGAAGGGTCTGTCTTGTCAAGGCCACATAATGTGATAGGTGTAGACAGATTCTCCTCTGTGAGGAAGGCCAGGCCACAGGCTGAGCCAGGGCACGAGGACTACTTCTTGAGGAGAGTGGGGAGGGGAGGGGAGGAAGAGAGAGAGGGGTAAAAGAAAAGACTGACAAGTGCACACAAGGCCCATCAAGGCAGCCATATTTACCTTCAACTTGCCCCATTTAAGAGAAAAGCTTTTAACTACCTTCTCTCTACATTGAATAAAAACAAAAGGAGAAAAATAAAAGAGAATAAGGAATGGCCAAAATGATATTTACTGTCCAGTTAAGAAGAGGGTGGGCTTATAATTATTCATTGACTTAATCATTCATTCAACAAATATTTACTGAGTGGCTGTTATGAGCCAGGTGCTGGTCTAGATACTGCTAACGGTGATTAACGAAACAGACAAAGTTCTGCCTCACAGAGCACACACCCCCTAGTTCTCTCCACGTTTGCCAAGATAGTACTTGCTCAGATTTCTAAAAGGTGTTTGGTTGTTTTTACAAGCTTCCACTGCTATACAAAATGTACCAGCAACAGCCTCTCTTCCTAAAAAAGAGCTGAAGCACGAAGAGCAAGTGTGAACTACCTACACCCGAGGACAGGCTGGTTAACACTCATTCAGATGAAACTGGAAGGACGTCTCAGAAAAAGAATGCCATCACTCAGTTTGGGATTTGGCCTGGCCTCCAGATTTAACAGTCTCTGAAAGAATTAGTGTTTCTAATAATCCAGGCGACACATTATATTCAGAATGCGATTTTCCAACGGGGCACAAAACTACTTCTGGACTAAGAGGCAGACAGCTGCTCTAAAACCCATGCAAGGTCCCCCAGGTGTTTGCTGCGGAAGCTGAAAGGGGCAAAGGGATGTGGCCACATCCTTTCTGGTCAAGTTTCAGGATAAACAGATTTAAAGGACAGAACTGTAACCAGGATTTGGCCACCTTTGGAAGGAACGTGGCATTTGAACAACATCCTTCCCAGACTAAAAGCCACTCAGACACGGATCATCACTCCAGGCATTTGGCACGCTGGTTTATATTAGCAGCCAAATACATAATTGCCAGGAACTGGCCAAATCCACAGGGACACCAGTCACTTCTGAAGGCTGAAAAATGTTTGTAATATACCGTAATAAGCGTAAGCCTGGCTCATTTAATCAGATCTGAGTCCCACAGTGGGGATTTCTGCACAGGGGGAAGATGTTTACTGAAATCCCATTTTTTTCCATGGCCATCTCTCATTCCAGGAAGAAGAGAACTATGAACTGGTTGTCCTTGCCAGTTTCTGTTTTATATTCTAGGTCATTAATATGGGTGCTTATAACATACATGTTTCGAATTCATTCTGAATTCACTTCAGTATAAAGTGATAAAAATAATGCTATTTCTCCTTATTTTAGACTATATTGTAAATGAACTAAGTATTACTGAAAGATAGAGATTTAAGAGTATCAGACTCCTCTCCATTCCTGGCAAATTTCTCAAGTTGGCTTCCCCAAAACCAATGAGATGAGACAGGGAAGAGGTGTCTGTGAGAGGCTGCCTGACCCCAGGCTCTGGGCTCTCAGCAACCGGGACGGGTGAGGAGCCCCTTGAGAAGCCGGCCAGACTCTCTCCCAACACGAAGATGGAAACGAGCCAGCTGTTCAGGCTCTCTTCCTCAGATTCTTTTATGTAGAGCCTGGATTCCTAAGTTCAGAAATCTGATTTTCCCCAAAATTGATCCAGCTCCAGATAACTGTTTCATACCAAACAAACTCACTAGGAAATTATTTGAGCTCAGAAGGCAATTCATTCACTTTCAAGTAGCAATTTCATTCCACATGCTGCAGACGAGGAGACTGGAATTCTGGTGAGGTGCTTAGGTGACTAATCCTAGACGCCTGGGCTAACTGCAGAACTAGGACTTGAATCCAGGTCTTCTGACTTCAAAGCCCTTGCTCTTTCTGCTAGAGCATCGCCACCTCCTGGTGGGGCCCCGGCATGCAAGGGCAACAGGAGGTGACACAGCAGCTTCCAAGGAGCAGAGTGCACTGACGGAGGGGCAGGGCAGGCAACAGTGGGGCACACGCCGCGTGGAGAAAGCTGGCAGGGGACAGCAGAACCCGTGTGACTGAGGGTGCGAGCCAGAGTCCAGTTCCAAGGCAGGCCAGGGACGGGGGAACCAGTGAGAGATCCTTAAGGCCCCATTCAGAACTAAGATATGAACGAAACAGAAACTCTCAGGAACAGGGCAGAAGCCAGATTAGGAAAACTGGGCACAGGGCATGTCGGCTGGGCCCACCACCTCACGTGTTAACCTCCAACCGAGTTTTAGGGCACCCTACTCCAGCTCTTTCCATGTCCCTGTGAAAGGAAGAAACCAGCTAGGACCAGAGCACAGACCAGTCTGTAGGTGGAGCCAAGCGGCTACCAGCCGCGGGGATGAGAGGAAAAGCAGGGGCAGCGAACTCCACAGGTCACGGCAAG